AAAAACAAAAACAAAAACAAAAAAAAAACACATACCAGAGTCCTAGAAGAGAGGAAAAAGACAATGAGGAGTAAGCAATACTAAAGAACTACTGGCCAAGAATTTTACAAAACTGATGAAAGACATCAACTCACAGATCCAAGGTGGGAGGATCTCTTGAGCCTGGGAGGTGGAAGTCGCAATGAGTCAAGAATGTGCCACACTGTACTCCAGCCTGAGCAACAGAGAGAGATCCTGTTAAAAAAAAAAAAAAAAAAAAAAGGTAGAACATTAATTATTGAGAAAGCTACACGTTAGGTATATGGGGGTTAACTTTGTTTACTTTATAAATGTTTAAGTTTTTTTAATACTGCATAAAGATATTTTTAAGTGACTGACACTAAATACTCCAAATAAAAGGCACAGGTTTTCTGATCTACAACTACATGCAATAATATGGTTGAATCTTATAAGACATTGAGCAAAAAAAAAAACTAGAAGCAAAGGAGTTTCTGTATAGTTTTATTTTTTCTGAGTATGAAAAAAAAAATAAAGCTTATTTATGCCATTAGAAATTATGGTAAAAGTTACCCTTGGGAGAGTAGGGACTGGAAGGAGCCGTGAGGAAGAGTTTTGGAGGCAGGAAGTATGTTGCATCCTTTTTTTTTTTTTTTTTTTTTTGAGATGGAGTCTTGCTCTGTCACCCAGGCTGGAGTGCAATGGCACAATCTTGGCTCATTGCAACCTCCAACTCTCAGGTTCAAGCAATTCTCCTGCCTCAGCCTCCTGAGTAGGTGGGATTACAGGCATGAACCACCATGCCCAGCTAATTTTTGTATTTTTAGTAGAGACAGGGTTTCTCCATGTTGGCCAGGCTGGTCTTGAACTCCTGGCCTCACGATCTGCCTGCCCTGGCCTCCCAAAGTGCTGGGATTACAGGCATGAGCTACCATGCCCCACCAGTATGTTGCATCTTGATCTGGGTTTAGATAACAAAGATGTGTTCAATCTCTGAAAATTCATAAAGCTTATCATTTATGACCTATGGACTGTTCTATGCAGATATCACACTTCACTGAGAGTTTTGGTAAAGACAAAAATCAGCAGTCAGCATAAAAACTACCCAATTATATGCTGTTACAAGAGACGTGCCTTAAATATAAGCACACAAAAAGATGGAAAGTTACAGGATGAAAAAGATATAACATGTAAACACTAACCAAAGAAAGCTAAAGTAATCTGTATATCAAAGTAGCCTTTAAGGCAAAAAGCACTGCTAGAAGTAAAAAATGACATTTCCAGGTGATAAAGGGGTCAAGTCACCAGGAAAATGTAACCATTCTAAATCTGAATATATTTAATAATATAGTTTCAACATACACAAAGCAAAAATGACAGAACTGAAAGGAGAAACGGAAAAATCTACATTCAGTACAAGTATCGATCAGTAATTAAAGATTTGAACAGCATGATTAACAAACTTGACCTGACATAGTTGACCTGCAGGATATGCACTCTTTTCTTTTTTTTTAGATGGAGTCTCGCTCTGTCTTGCCCAGGCTGGAGTGCAGTGGCGAGATCTAAGCTCACTGCAGCCTCTGCTTCCCAGGTTCAAGCAATTCTCCTGCCTCAGCCTCCTGAGTAGCTGGGATTACAGATGCCTACCACAGATCCTACAGATATTAAAAAGATTGGCTGGGCATGGTGGCTTATGCCAGTAACCCCAGCACTTTGGGAGGACAAGGTAGGAGGATCATTTGAGGCCAGGAGTTCAAGACCAGCCTAACATAGTAAGACCCCGTTTCTCCCCCTCCAAAAAAAGGTAAGACGATATTATGAACTTCATGTAATTATTTGAAATTTTAGATAAAATGGAAAAATTCCTTGAAAACAACTTACCAAAAATAAAACAGAACATCTGAATAGTTGTATTTTTATAAAAGAAACAGAATTTGTAATTTAAAGTCTTTCCACAAAGAAAACTCTAGGTCCAGATGGCTGGTGAATTTTTCCAAACACATAAAAAATAAATAACATCAATCCTACACTAGCACTTCCAAAGAATAGAAAAATAGAAAACAGGCCAGGCGCAGTGGCTCGCGCCTGTAATTCCAGCACTTTGGGAGGCCAACGCAGGCAGATGACCTGAGGTCAGGAGTTTGAGACCAGCCTGGCCAACATGGAGAAACCTCGACACTACTAAAAATACAAAATTAGCTAGGCATGCCTGTTATCCCAGCTACTCAGGAGGCTGAAGCAGGAGAATCACCTGAACCTGGGAGGTGGAGGTTGTAGTGAGCAGAGATTGCACCATTGCATTCCAGTCTGGGCAACAAGAGCAAAACTCACACTCACACACACTCCCCCCACAACTGAAAGTGGTTACCTTTGGAGGCATTGCATTCCAGCCTGGGCAACAAGAGCAAAACTCCGTCACACACACACATACACACACACACACACACACACACACTCCCCCCACAACTGAAAGTGATTACCTTTGGAGGGTAATGATTAGGGGGAAGAGTGAAGAAGACTCCTGGCCTGTGAGTAATACTCTTTTTTTCATATATTGGTGGTTTCATTAATACATTACTCTAGAAATATTTCATTGAGCTATGACAAAATTTGGTACTTTATGGGTGTTGAAACTATACAAAATTTTGTTTAGGTTTTATAATATTATCCAGACCTCAAGAAAGAAAGGACCAAGAAATGCTGAAGGAATAAACTAAAAGAATGACAGAATGAAAGAACTTAATAATTTAATAAGTCTAAAGAAGTCGACTGGGCATGGTGGCTCATGCCTGTAATCTCAGCATTTGGGAGACTGAGGCAGGCTGGTCATGAGGTCAGGAGTGTGAGACCAGCCTGGCCAATATAGTGAAAAAATACAAAAATTAGCCGGGCGTGGTGGTGTGCACCTATAGTCCTGGCTACTTGAGAGGCTAAGGCAGAATAGCTTGAACCCAGGAGGCAGAGGTTGCAGCGAGCCAAGACTGCATCATTGCACTCCACCCTGGGTGACAGAATGAGACTCTGCCTCAAAAAAAAAAAAAAAGGCGGGGCCCGGCGCGGTGGCTCAAGCCTGTAATCCCAGCACTTTGGGAGGCCGAGGCGGGTGGATCACAAGATCAAGAGATCGAGACCATCCTGGTCAACATGGTGAAACCCCGTCTCTACTAAAAATACAAAACATTAGCTGGGCATGGTGGCGCGTGCCTGTAATCCCAGCTACTCAGGAGGCTGAGGCAGAAGAATTGCCTGAACCCAGGAGGCGGAGGTTGCGGTGAGCCGAGTTCGCGCCATCGCACTCCAGCCTGGGTAACAAGAGTGAAACTCCGTCTCAAAAAAAAAAAAAAAAAAAAAGCCTACCACTTGCCAGCCTGAGCTAAGCAAACACTTGGTGTACTTTGTTTTCTTTCTTTCTTTTTTTTGAGGAAGAGTCTCCCTGTCACCAAGGCCGGAGTGCAATACAATGATCTTGGTTCACTGCAGTCTCCACCTCCTGGTGATTCTTATACCTCCCAAGTAGCTGGGATTATAGGAGTGTGCCACCACACCCAGCTAATGTTTCGTATTTTTAGTAGAGATGGGGTTTCACCATATTGCCCAGGCTGGTCTCAAACTCCTGGCATCAAGTGATATGCCCGCCTTAGCCTCCCAAACTGTTGGGATTAGAGGGGCGAGCCACTGTGCCTGGTCACCATATATTCTTATTAAACTCTCGTAAGACCCCAAGAAGTGGCTATTATTTGTCCCCATTTTAGAGAAGTTGAGGTCCAAAGAGTTGAAGTCACTTGCCAAGGTCACACAGCAATGCCACTAGGTGTGCCTGATTCCTTTTAACTACTTGCCACACCACGTGGCAAACAGGTTTCTTCCTAAACCTTACAAGTCATCATCTAATACTCAAAATAAAGTATTATATAGCAATTAACAAGGACCTTCTATAAACTGTGGATTATCACCTTAAGTCCCCAAGGTAACGTAAGAAGCCGTTATTATCTCCATTCCTGGGAGGAAAATTGAGGCTCCAAAAGGGTAAATCACTGTGGCAAGGTCACAGCCAGGAAGTGTTGGAGCCAAAATTCAAACCCAAGAATTTCTAACTCCAGATCCACGGCCTTATCATCATCACTCTGCACTGCTCACTAGTTAAGAGGCATGAATTTCATTCATTCATTCGTTTATTCATACCTTCAACAACAAAAAATTATTTTTGAGTGCCCACCTTAGGCCAGGCATGTTCTAGTCCCAAAATAATCTTGCACTGCATAGAGCTCATATTCCCGTGGGGGATGTCAGACAGTACACAAATACACGCCGGGCTCGGTGGCTCACACCTGTAATCCCAGCACTTTGAGAGGACCAGCTGGGTGGATCACCTGAGGTCAGGAGTTCGAGACCAGCCTGGCTAACATGATGAAACCCCGTCTCTACTAAAAACACAAAAATTAGCCGGATATGGTGGCGGGTGCCTCGGTAGTCCCAGCCACTCAGAAGGCTGAGGCAGGAGAGTCGCCTGAACCTGGGATGCGGAGATGGCAGTGAGCCGAGACCGCGCCACTGCGCTTCAGCCTGGGCGACAGAGCAACACTCTGTCTCAAAAAAAAAGGAAAGAAAAGAAAAAAATGGGAGGTGGACAAGGAGTCTCTCAGTTCAATTTACCCCTTACTCGGCCCCATTTCACCGATGCCGGAAGCCGAAGAAAAGACCCCCGAGCCCCAATACAGCAGGGGCACCGGTCCCCGTCGTCCGCCACCAGTCACTCAGAAACATAGAAGCCGCCGCCGGCTCTGCCAGTGCGCATGCGTCCGCCCCACCGCTTTGGGCGCACCGCCCAAGCAGCCCTACGCATGCGCATCCTCACCGTTACGGATACCCCACGGGAGCGCCAGGCATCGGCCGCCGGTGTGCGCCTGCGTCTTAGGAGGAGCCTGGGAGGGGACGGGCGGGGCTCAGACGCCGCGCACGCGCACTCGGGACACTTTGCTTTCTTTGCTTTTTCTGGCGGGAAAAGCTCAGGCTCACCTCCCTCAACTCAACTGCCGTTCGTCGCTGGTGGCTGTCCGCGGTGTCCGAGAATAGGACGTGGCTCCAGGTGCGCCCTGCCCCGCGGCGAGGTTCCCCAGAATGGCCCGGGAGCAGCGCCTCCCGAAATCCTAGCGAAGCCCCCCCATATTGTAGGAGAGATGCCCCAGCGTCAGAACCCCCGAAATCCTGTTGAAATCCTGACCACATCCCCTCAGAAATACTGAAAGGAGCCCTCCAGGAAATCTTATAGGTGACCCTCGAAATCCTGTCAGAATCTTCTAGAAATTCTGTCGTCAGGCTTCTCCTTCAGAGCCTGCCAAAGACTTTCCCGAAAATCCTGTTACTCTCCGCAAAGCAGCAGATGCCTGAACTGCCGTCAGAGACCCCCAGATATCCTGACAGGTCCCCTCCCAAACCTAGTCAGACCTCAGATTCTGTCAGAGAGCTCAGAAGCCCATCAGAGACCCCCCCCAAGAAATGGAGACCATTGAAATCCAGTGAAGACCCCCAGAAATCGAGACCCCCGAAATGCAGCCAGAGACCCCCAGAAATCCAGAGACCCCTGCAGAAATCAAAAGCCCCAAAATCCAGAGACATTCACAGACAACAAGACCCCCCAAAATCAAGCCAGAGACCCCCCCAGAAATCCAGAGACCTCTGCAGAAATCAAGACCCCTGAAATCCAGATACCCCAGAAATCAAGACACCTGAAATTCAGCCAGAGATCCCCTAAACCCAGTCAGAGACCCCTGCAGAAACTGAGACCCCCCAAAATCCAGAAACTCCCCAGAAATCCAGCCAGAGACCCCTGAAAATCCTGTCAGAGCCCTTGAAAGTCTGCCAAGGCCCACCCTACCCAGAGCTCTTGCCAGGGCTCCGTTCTGTCTCAGTGTCCGCATCCCAGTAAGATGAGACCCCCAAGATCAGCCAACACCCCTGGGGTTCCTCAGGACTTTGTCTCGAACCCGGCCCATGTGCCAGGGCCTGGCCAAGGCCATTGCCCCCTTTTCACCCTGCAGGGTGGTCCAGACCCTGGAAGGGCCCCTCTTCAAAGGGCCCCATGTTTCCAGAGTGTTCCAGAAGCATGTGGCGGCAGGCCCGCATGGCTCAGGAGAGCAGGTGCTGGGAGACCTGGGTGAGGACAGGCGGGCCCAGGCTTAGCCGGTGGCCCCGAGGGGCGCCCTTGCCCACTGTGATGTTAGCAGTGCCCAGGTCTCTCCTGTAGCACCCTGAGTGCAGTCACTAAGGCATTCAGTCAGCGTGGGTGAAATGGAGGCAGGACATGGACCCCTGAAATCCTGTCATTGCCACAGGGACTGCCCAGAGCAGCTGCAAGTGGGGCCAGCAGGAATGAGGAGGAGGTGGCCTGGGTATGGGGGACTTTGTGCATCCTGATTTGGAACCCAGGGGAGTAGCAGGTTTGGGGCTATGATGAGGAGAGACCTAGGGGTCGCTTGATGGAGACAAAAGGGACAGAAAGAGGCAGGAGCTTCAGGCACCACTGGATGCCCCCTCTAGCCTGAGGGACTGAGACTTAGTCCAGGGGCACTAGGGAGCCATGGGAGGGTTGGGAGCAGAGGTGAGGCAGAATCAAACTCCAGTGAGAGGCCAGCTGGCCAAATCCAGGCTGATGTGGCAAGAACAGCAGCTGTCCAGGGCCATGTGGGTGCCAGACACAGCCCCCCGCTTCCCAGAAGAGGCCACGCAGAGCCGAGGCAGGATGAAGGATCCAAGGAGGGCATCTTAGGCAGAGACCTGGGCATGGGAGCGGACCACAGCTCAGAGTGGCTGGAGCATCACATGCAATTTGGGGTGCTGAGGTGGGTGGTCAGCACTTTGGCATCAGGGCCATGGTCTAGCCCATCCCCAGGGTGCTGGGAGCCACGGAAGGGCACTGAGCAGGGGAGGAGCAGGTTGGCTCTGGGGCCCTGTGGGGACAGGCTGGAGGGCAAGCCTGGAGATAGGAGGCTGGGACAAAGGCCAGGGAAGAGGACCAGGAAGCCTGGGCTGGCAAGAAGCCATGTGGAGGAAGGGAGGCCGTGACCCCACCACCTACTAGCCCCTTTGATGTCAGCCACCCCGTTCCCCAGCCTACACCCCCAATCCATAAAACAGGTCAGAGCGGAGCTGCTCGGGTTCCAGTAGGAGTGGCAAACAGGTTGTAAGGACCCAGAAGTCCTGGGGCACAGGTGGGGCAGGGCAGGCCCCAACCCTTGGTGGCTGCTCTAAGGACACCATTCCCTGCTTCTCCTTCCAGGAGTGCTCAGGCAGCTGGTCCTTTACCCATCCCTCCCCCTGAAGGAGGGAGGCTGGTAGCTTTCTCAGCAGCTGCGCAGCAGTGAGGGTGGCTCATGGACCTGCCCGAGAGCCCGGTGGGCAGCCCTACTGCAGAAAGTAAGTGGCTGGGACCCTGTTTGCCCTGGGGAGGGTGAGGAGAGAGCCGTGGGTGAATGGGCACCAGGCTGTGACTCGGAGACTTGGGAGAGGTGGCTTGGGGTGGCTGAGCCTTGGCATGGGTGCAGGGTGGAAGGGAGGAAAGGGACTCTGGTGGATTAAGTGCATACTGTATGCCCGCCCACCTGTCCATACCCCTTATTTCCTGTGGGGAGGCTGGACTGCGTGAGAGCACAAGCGAGTGCACCCCTTACTCCATTCACATCGCTGCCCTGATGGCACTTCTTACTTTATGTAAAGCAGCTGTCCTGAGACAGTCTCTCCCCCACCCTGCTTCACTTCTCTTCATAGTGCTGACATCAGTGCGTCATCCGTTTTGTCTCTGTCTCCCCCACTAGTGCATGAGCTCCACAAGGCAGCATCTGTTTTATTCACTCTGGTATTCCCAGTCCCTAGAGCAGCGCTGTCCTGTGGAAGCATAATATGAGCCACATATGTAATTTTTTTTTTTTTTTTTTTTGAGACAGAATTTCGCCCTGTGGCCCAGGCTGGAATGCAGTGGCACAGTCTTGGCTCACTGCAACCTCTACCTCGCGGGTTCGAACCATCCTCCTGCCTCAGCCTCCCAAGTATCTGGGATTACAGGCATTCACCAGTGTGCCCAGCTAAGTTTTTTTTATATTTTTAGTAGAGATGGAGGTTTGCCATGTTGGCTTGGCTGGTCTTGAACTCCTGACCTCAGGTGATCCACCTGCCTGTCTCAGCCTCCCAAAGTGCTTGGATTCCAGGCGTGAGCCACCACACCCAGCCGATTTATTTACTTATTTATTTACTTAGAGACAGAGTCTCTATTGCCAGGCTGGAGTGCAAGTGGCACCATCTTGGCTCACTGCAACCTCCACCTCCCAGGTTCAAGTGATTCTCCTGCCTCAGCCTCCTGAGAAGCTGGGACTAAAGTCATGCTCCACCATGCCCAGCTAATTTTTGTATTTTTAGTAGAGACAGAGTTGCACCGTGTTGGCCAGGCTGGTCTTAATCTCTTGATATCTCTAATATCCTGTCAATATATAGCCAATATAAAAAATGTATTGAGATATTCTCTTTTTTGTATTTTTTTTTTTTTTTAGTAGAGACGGGGTTTCACCATGTTGACCAGGATGGTCTCTATCTCCTGACCTCGTGATCTGCCTGCCTCGGCCTCCCAAAGTGCTGGGATTACCACACCCAGCCAATTGATTATTTTTTAAAAGAAAAAAGAATAGGTGAAATGAATAGTAATAATAGATCTTCCTTATATATTCAGACTAATATCCTGTCAATATATAGCCAATATAAAAAATGTATTGAGATATTCTCTTTTTTGAATACTAAGTCCTCAAGAGCTAGCGTGTACCTTTACACTAATAGAGCATTTCAATCCACATTCACCTCAGTTCAGGTGCTCCAGAAAGAGTGACTACCCAGCCAGGCGCGGTGGCTCAAGCCTGTAATCCCAGCACTTTGGGAGGCCGAGGCGGGTGGATCACGAGGTCGAGAGATCGAGACCATCCTGGTGAACATGGTGAAACCCCGTCTCTACTAAAAATACAAAAAATTAGCTGGGCATGGTGGCGCGTGCCTGTAATCCCAGCTACTCAGGAGGCTGAGGCAGGAGAATTGCCTGAACCCAGGAGGCGGAGGTTGCGGTGAGCCGAGACAGCGCCATTGCACTCCAGCCTGGGTAACAAGAGCGAAACTCCGTCTCATTAAAAAAAAAAAAAAAAAAAAAAGAGTGACTACCCTATTGGTTGGGACCACAGAGCAACTCCTGACTCACAGTAGGAGCTCAGTTACTGTTGAATGAATGGATGGATGCAGACTGAATGGGTGTGAAAGCTGGCTTCAGGGGTAGGGAGGATGCACAGGGTTGCCTCTCTGAAACTCACCTATCAAGTGAGAGAGCCCAGTCTGATGGAGATGGCAGGGCCCCTTTTTCCTTTTTCTTTTTCTTTTTTTTTTTCTTTTTTTTTTTTTTTTTGAGCTCAAGTCTCACTCTGTCACCCAGGCTGGAGTGCAGTGGTGTGATCTCGGCTCACTGCAACCTCTGCCTCCTAGGTCCAAGCAATTCTGCCTCAGCCTCCTAAGTAGCTGGGACTACAGGTGCCTGCCACCACACATGGCTAATTTTTATTTTATTTTATTTTTTGTATTTTTAGGAAAGACAGGTTTCACCATGTTAGCCAGGATAGTCTTGACCTCCTGACCTGGTGATCCACCCGCCTCGGCCTCCCAAAGTGTTGGGATAACAGGCGTGAGCCACTGCACCCAGCCTAGGGCCCCTTTCTTAGAGGCTTCCAGGGATCCATGGCACAGTCTGTGCCTTTTTGTCCAAAGCCCCAGGCCTCAGGAGGCTTTCCAGATAGGAGGATCAGAGGCAGACACCAGGGTGTGGGAACCAGGGGGACAGGCTGTCTAGTGATGGCCATCTACACTTCACCTGCACCAGCAGAGGGCGTGCAGCGACCGGGATCCAGGTGGCAAGAGCTGAGCCAACTTCGAGAGGCTCCGGAAGGAAAGGTAGGAACACACTCAGAAGGAGAGATGGAGACAGAGGAAGGCAGAAGGAAAAAGAGAGAAATAGCAGAGAAAGGAAAGAGAAGGCTTAGGGAATGGAGACTTGCTGAGATACGGGAAGGAAAGCACAAAGACGGAGAGATGGGAAAAAAACGGGCAAGGGCCGTGGAGGTAGAGAGATAGGACATGACGAAGAGAGATTGGGATAAAGATGGAGAAAAAACGCCAAAGAAAAATGTAAAGAAGAGGCAGGGACAGAGACATACAGTAGAGAGATAGGGACACTGAGGAAGGAGATCTTTATCAGGAACAGGAATGACATCTCCCTGGGGGAATCAAACACATGCTGATCCTCAGAGCCCGCATGACCTGGTGCCAGTCCTGGGTTCTGTTCCCAGCTTAGTTCTCCCTGGCAAGCAGCCGTGGGTGAAGGATCTCACTGGGCCTAAGGGTCCTCATCCATGTAACATGAGAAAGACAGTGAGAGGGTTTAGTGCAGTGGCTCATGCCTCTAACCCCAGCACTTAGAGAGGCCAAAGTGGGCGGATCACTTGAGGTCAGGAGTTTGAGACCAGCCTTGCCAACAAGGTAAAATCCCATCTCTACTAAAAATACAAAAATTAGCTGGGTCTAGTGGCAGGCGCATGTAATCCCAGCTGTTCAGGAGGCTGAGGCAGGAGAATCACTTGAACCCTGGAGGCAGAGGTTGCAGTGAGTCAAAATCACACCGCTGCACTCCAGCGTGTGCAACAGAGCAAGACCCATCTCAAAAAAAAAAAAAAAAAAAAAAACAACCAGAGAGGAGAAAACCAGACTGGGGCTAAAGCCCTGGTCTCCCCTGTCTGTGAGTTCACACGCCCCTTCCCAAGGGCCAAACGTAGGAGCATGGGTTCAAGCCAAAGGGAATGCAAATTTCACTCACTACTTCCTAACCTGGAAGAGTTAGGGGGATGAGAAAGGTGACTCGTATGTTAAACAGCGTGACCTTTGGCAATTTCCTGGTCTCTCTATACCTTAGTCCCCTCATTTGTAAAGGAGGGATAATAATAGCATCAATTATTACTTTGCTACTAGACGGTTCATGTAAAATGCTCAGAAGAGGCCTTCTGAGGGCACCTACTAAAGGCTCAGTAAGTGTTCAGTTGTATTCTTGAGTCCCCACCACGTGCCAGGCCCTCTGCCAAAGCCTTTCTAGGTTTTATCTCATTTTCTCTCTAGGAAAAAGGTAACACCAACTCCATTTTCCAGAGGAAGAAACTGAGGCTCAAGAGAGATTAAGTTAGTTGCCCCAGGTGCTGGCACTTGTCTGAGGCCAAGCCTCGGTTGCCCACTGGATCTACCCAGTCCTGCAGCCTATGCTCAGTGTGCTGCTGCACCCAGCTGTTCAAGGCCAGGCCAGGAAGCCTAGAAGCTCACTTCCAGCCCTGGAGAGAGGCTGGGCCAACCCAGTGGCTCCTGCAGTAGAGGCTCTCTTATATGGAGCATTTGTTGAACACCTACTATGTACAGGTGTTATGGCTACAGCCTAACAAATAGACCCCAGGACACGTGCATGAGTGTGAGAGTGTGTGTGTGTATATACATACACATGTGCTTCACATACACAGTTAACTCAGCCCTGGTGAGGAGGATCACTACCCACCCCCTATTTTACCAGTAGGGAAACTGAGACTCTGAGAGAAGAGACTTGTCCACAGATGAGCAGCTGGACTCTGCACCCGGGTTGATCTGACACACTAATCCAGCTCATAACCACTCCCTCACTGCCCATCCTTCCTGGTTTACCCCATCCTTTCATGTCTCAGCCCCTGGCCATGGGCTTCGACGATGCCAGCCTTGCCTTAAGGATGCAGGGAGGAGAGAGCCCTGGTCCCCAGGGTGGGCTGGGAGACCGGAGATGCCACAGGCGGGATCGATCTGGGCTGCCCACGCATTATTGGATTGTTCCTGGCTCCTGAGCCCCCTTCACTCTCAGCTCCTCCCAGAATTCTCTCTTCTTTGCCCTCCCCTGCCGTCCCTCTCTGAGCCCAGCCTAGGAGGCTGGAGAGGTGAGGAGGAGAGGATGATCTCAGAGCCTCCTTATCTGGGCTCCTAAGCCAATCGGACACAAAAAGATAGCAGAGGGGACTTCCTGGTCTGAAAGATGGGGGAAGTGACTCAGAGACCCTCACATTGTTGCCCCCTCCTGAAGCTTCCTGCTGTTCCGCACCAGCCCTAACTCTAGGTGCTCTGAGTAAATTTTCTCCCCTCTACAGAGCCCAGGAGGCTGAGGACCTGGGGTCACCCCTTTTCCTTCCTCATTCTTCTCACTGGGGAGCTGGGCCCTCTTGTCTCCCCAGTGTACCTCTGGGAGCAGCCTGAGGAGGCAAGTCTGGGAACGCCGCTCAGCTTGGAGGAGCAAGTACTCAACTCCACATTCGAAGCCTGTGATCCCCACAGGACAGGTGGTGGGGGCAGGGAAGGTGCTGGGGACCAGTGCGGTCAGGATAGGGATGGAGGCTGGGAACTGGGGAGCCTGAGAGAAGACTGGTCTAGGGCCCCCTCTTGGGGGTACTGTAAGAACAAAGTACATGACTGTGGGCAACCTCAGGAAGAAGAAAGTAAGGGGGTGGATGGATGCCTTTTAGAATGAGGAAAACTTGGGGGCTATTGATGAAGGAGGGTAGAGTTTTGGGGTCTTGGGATGAGGAAGGGAGGCAGCCACCATGGTGGGTTGGGACATGGGGTGCTGTCCCCATATCCATCCCCTTTGGTTCACCCTGTGATGGACAGGTGAAAAAGTTGACTCAGAGGAGGCGAAAGGACTTGCCCAATGTGTCTTCACTGGGCCATGGAGCAGGAGTGCCACCAGCCTAGCCAGTGACATCCTGCTGCCAAACTGTTGCCTTTCCATACCCACCACTCCCCACCTGCCCCAGACCCCCTCACTTCATGCTCTGTCCCAGGCACTGTGGCTGTGGCCCAGGTACTGGCCTACCTGGAGGCCGTGACAGGCCAGGGACCCCAGGATGCACGCCTCCAAACATTGGCTAACAGCCTGGACCCCAATGGGGAGGGCCCTAAGGCCACCGTGGACTTGGACACTTTTCTGGTTGTCATGCGTGACTGGATTGCTGCCTGTCAGCTGCATGGGTGAGTCCCCACACCTTCATCCTCTTCTGGGAAGTCCTTCCTAAGATCTAACCTCATACCCACTTACTGCAGCTAGCATTCTTTAGGCCCGAGGACCTACTGTGTTTGGAATGAGACTGTGGAGAGAAAAATGAAGAGATGGGATTCAGAGGGGGTAGATAGGGAGTCAGTCTGAGGACAAAATAATTTGGATGAGGAGACAGAGGGGGCCTGGGAGTCAAAACAGGGTTGGAGAAGGGAGGAGCTTGGGGGCTGACAGAGAGGTCCCTCCGCATCCCTTCACCAAACCCAGCCCTTGCCCCTCCTGCTTTTCCATCTGGCTGCAGGCACTTGCCATCTGGCCCCATCATCCTCCCCTGTGGTGCCAGCTCTCACCTGACCTGTTCCCCTCCTCCCACCTGCAATCCCCCTGCCTGTGGCTGGTGAGGATTGAGGGGTGGCTATAGGGAGGCTGTAAGCCTCATCCCTTCGATACAGGGGATTAGAGCTAGAAGAGGAGACCGCCTTCGAGGGAGCCCTGACCTCCCAGCAACTGCCATCTGGTGAGATTTCTATATATAGAATGAAGCAGGCAGGCCCTGGGTCAGACAGTGTGGGGACTTACCACCCAGGGCAGAGCAAGGGATAGGGTGGGAACCAGGGACCTAGTTGGGTAAGTGTGGCTTTCTGGGTCCTCCGTCCCTTCCTTCCCTGAGCTTTTGGGGTTTTTTTCTTCAGAGGGTGGTTTCCAACTCCTCCTCCTCACACCAGCCCTATTAGAGAGGCGTACAAGGCCCCACCTACCTCTGCTCCATCATCATTAACCTCTCCTCCTACTCACTCTAATCCAGGCACTCAGGCACACTGGCTCTGCTGCCCTACCTTGAATGTGCCTTACTTCTGCCCAGCACAGGCCCTTGCTCAGGCTGTCCCCTCCACTCCTCAATCCCCATCCCACCCCATCTGACTTTCCACACCTTCCTTCATCCATCACACCTCTGGCAAAGGGGAAGCCCTGGGATGCCCCTGGCTAGAGTTCCTTGCTCCCTGCTCACTCATAGACTTGCAGACCTTTCCGCTGGAACACGTACCTGCAGAGGAAATCTGATTATTTAGTTACCCACTGTCCCCTGGGTTCAGTTGGCTGGTTTGCTCACCATTATAACCCCAGAAGTGCTCCGTAAAAAAGTGGTCATGATCACATGCTCATGCAGGGAGCCTTGGTCTTCCAAAATGTTGGGATTATGCCAGCATTTTCGGAGGCCAAGGTGGGAGGAATGTTTGAGCACAGTAGTTTGAGACCAGACTGGGCAACATAGTGAGACCCCATCTCTGCTAAAAATTAAAAATTAGCCGGGCATGGTGGCTCAAGCCTGTAATCCCAGCACTTTGGGAGGCCGAGGCGGGTGGATCACGAGGTCAAGAGATCGAGACCATCCTGGTCAACATAGTGAAACCCCATCTCTACTAAAAATACAAAAAATTAGCTGGGCGTGGTGGCGCGTGCCCGTAATCCCAGCTACTCAGGAGGCTGAGGCAGGAGAATTGCCTGAACCCAGGAAGCGAAGGTTGCGGTGAGCCGAGATTGTGCCATTGCACTCCAGCCTGGGTAACAAGAGCGAAACTCCGACTCAGAAAAAAAAAAAGGTGGTCATGTTCCATTTCTCCAGCCATACATAGAAAAAAGAAAGTGGGGGTGGAAGTTCTCTTCAACCTCCTTCGTTAGACTTGGGGGCCCAGGGAGGGCTGTGAGCAGAGGAGGGACTAGAGGCCAAGAGGCCAGAGAAGAGGCTGTGGTGAGGGTCCAGGAGGAGAAGGCAAGGGCTGGGGGTGTGGAGACAGAGAGGAGGGGTGGAGCAAAGAGAGTCGGGGGCAGGAGGGAGAGGTCTGGGCTCTGCTAGACTGTGGGGGTGACAGGGAGTGAGGGAGCCAGGTCAGCCCAGTGGCTGGGTGGCCACTGGGGGATCTGGGAAGGGGAAGTGCTGCCTAATGTTGGGTATAAAGAATGTGGGGGACTGGGGTTATCTGGAAGATCCAGCCTGAACTCAAGGTAGAAGACAAGCCAGAGGGCTTTATAGTGGGTCTAATTGCAGCCTGAGAGCCTGTGAGATCCTCCAGAGCACAGGTGAGGGTGGAGTCAGATGGAGACTAAGCTCATAGCCCTGGGGCACCTTACATTTAAGGGTACTGCAGATGCCAGCACCCTCTTGTCTGTCTCTCTCCAGGATGCCCAGAAGCTGAGGAGCCAGCCAACTTGGAGAGCTTTGGAGGCGAAGACCCCAGACCTGAGCTGTACCTATCCTCACATCCCTCCCTGACCCTCCTGCCCCAGCGCTGTGCCCTCCACCCTGCCAGGCCTGGGTAGGGCTTGGGATCCTTCAGGGAAAGGAGTGAGGGACAGGGGCTTTGCCAACAGTTCAGGGAGAGCAGAGGAGTCTCCTGTTTCTCTTTCCCCAAAAGAGCCACATCTCCCCACCACCTCAACCTTAACCTGGGGAAATAAAGCAGGGGCTGTGGCCTGTGACCTCAGCCCCTTCCCTGCCCCTAGGCCAGCCACCGCTGACCTGCTGAGCAGCCTGGAGGACCTGGAGCTCAGCAACCGCCGTCTGGCTGGGGAGAATGCCAAACTCCAGCGGAGCGTGGAGACGGCTGAGGAGGGGTCAGCACACCTTGGGGAGGAGATCTTGGCCCTGCGCAAGAAGCTTCGCAGGTGGGCTGCACTCCACACCCACCCGCCCCAGCACCGCTGCCTCCATCCTCCTTGCATCGCCAGCCTCTACCGCCTATGCTTGCTGTAGGCATCCTGCTCTGTCTTTGACTCTGTATCTGTCCTTTCTTTTCCCTTCTCTGTATTTTATCTTTTGTGTCACTCTCTCTGGTTCTTATCTCCCACCCTCTGTTTTGGTCTTTTTATCTTCTAGAGGGTTTAGACTTCTTTCTCTATTTTTTTTTTTTGAAAAGGAGTCTTGCTTTGTCACGCAGGCTGGAGTGCAGTGTTGTGACCTCGGCTCACTGCAACCTCTGCCTCCCGGATTCAAGTGACTCTCCTGCCTCAGCCTCCCAAGTAGCTGGGGCTATAGGCACCCACCACCACACTCAGCTAATGTTTGTGTTTTTAGTAGAGACAGGGTTTCACCATGTTGGCCAGGCTGGTCTCGAACTTCTGACCTCAAGTGATCCACACGCCTCAGCCTCCCAATGTGTTGGGATTACAGGCATGAGCCACCACACCTGGCCCTTTTTTTTTTTTTTTCTTTTTTCTTTTTTCTTTTTTCTGAGACAGGGTCTTACTCTGTCACCCAAGCCACAGTGCAGGGGGCATGGTCACAGCTCACTGCAACCTGCACTGCAGTCTACTACTCTAGGCTCAAGTGATCCTGCCACTTGAGCCTCCCAAGTAGCTGGGACCACAGGTGCACCACCATGCCTGGCTAATTTTGTTTTATTTTTTGTAGAAATGAGGTTTCGCTGTGTGAAACCTGGTCTCAAACTCCTGGGCTCAAGCCATCCTCCCACTTCATCCTCCCAAAATGCTGGAAGTACAAACCTAAGCCACTGCACCCAGCTTAGACTTCTCTCTTTGTTGTTCTCCCCTCTCTGATTCTCCTAATGATCTGCCCTTTCATCCTCTGTGCTTTGTCATTCTTTATGTTTTTCTTGGTTTCCCCGTTTTAGTCTCCTACTCTCTAGGTCTCTTTCCCACCTCCTCAGTCTTTTAGGTTAAAACTGGGTCTCTGTGTGGGCTGGGCATGGTGGCTCACGCCTGTAATCCCAGCACTTTGGGAGGCTGAGGCGGGTGGATCATGAGGTCAAGAGATCGAGACCATCCTGGTCAACATGGTGAAACCCCGTCTCTACTAAAAATACAAAAAAAATAGCTGGGCATGGTGGCGCGTGCCTGTAATCCCAGCTACTCAGGAGGCTGAGGCAGGAGAATTGCCTGAACCCAGGAGGCGGAGGTTGCGGTGAGCCGCGATCGCGCTATTGCACTCCAGCCTGGGTAACAACAAGAGCAAAAACTCCGTCTCAAAAAAAACAAACTGGGTCTCTGTGCCCACACTAGGTCTCTTCTTTTCTCTCTCGGTCTCTCTTCCCACCCTCCACCTGGATCTCTCTGTTGCCGCTGTCTCTCAGAATGGATCTGTCTCTGTGCTTCTCTGCCTTCCTCGAATGTGGCTCATCGCCTCCACCCCCATTCAGCACCCAGCAAGCCCTGCAGTTTGCCAAGGCCATGGATGAGGAGCTGGAGGACCTGAAGACTCTGGCCAAGAGCCTGGAGGAGCAGAATCGCAGCCTTCTGGCCCAAACCCGGCAGGCGGTGGGTCTGGCCCAGGGGAAGGAAGGTGCCCTCTCTCTTCCTTGTTTGCTGGAGTCAGAGGAGCCAAGTGTGACTATGTAGTAGGAAGGGGCAGAGGTCACCCGGCTTTCTCCCTCTCTCCAGGCCCTGCTCACCCTAGACTTTAACCCACCTGCCATCCTTCTCATGACAAAGGGCTCCCCAGACCCATTCCCCCAACCCCGTCCTTCAATGACCCAGGCCCTGGTTGTGTTCTCAGGGGTGGGAAAAGGACAACATGGGGGCAAGGAGGCTGGAAATGAAGCATTTGTCCTCTCTCTGGGGTTGGTTAGGAAAAAGAGCAGCAGCATCTGGTGGCTGAGATGGAGACTCTACAGGAGGAGGTAAGCTGAGACCCAGCACCCACCCCTACCCCTACTCCAGTCCTTAGGGTCTTCTTGACACTACTCCCTTCTGCCCCCAACACCCCAGCAGCCTGCCACCAAACAACCTTCAGCCTGCTTGCGGAGACCTCAGAATGTTAGTAGTGTGGGAATGTCCCTGAGGTCATACCACACCATGGAACTGCCATGGTTGACAAGAGTATGAGACATGGGGTCAGCTTACATGGGTTCAGGCTGAGGCCACCTACATAAACATGGACCAGTCCCTCCCTTCCCTGTGCCTCAGTTGCCTCACCTATAAAGATAAACAAAACAATGGCATCTGCCTCACTGGATTATGTGAGGATTCAACCAGAGGATACTTGTGGAGTCTTGGGCACGAGGTAGGACACATAGAATGTGTTCACTAAAAGTTAGCTAACATTGTTTATATGTTAGTATTTTTTTACAGTGAATAAAAAAGCCAGGCACACTAGCTCATGCCTGGAATACCAGCATTTGGAATGCCAGTACTAGGTTGGTGGACCCATTTAGCCTAGGAGTTTGAGACCATCCCGGGCAACATGGAAAAAACTTTATCTCTACAAAAAATACAAAAATAAGCCAGGCATGGTAGTGGCATCTGTACTCCATCTACTCAGGAGGCTGAGGTGGAAAGACTGCATGAGCCCAGGAGACAGAGGTTGCAGTGAGCCAAGATTGCATCATGGCATTCCAGCCTGGGTAACAGAGCAAGAGCCTCTCAAAAACAAAAAAAGATGATTTGAAGTCAACGTTGAGTTCAAATCCCATCTCTGCCACTTATACAACAGGCAGCCTTTAAGCGTGTGACTTCTCTTTCCCTCCTTCCCAAGCCTTTACTTTTACTTTCTTTACTTTCTTCTTTTTTTTTTTTTTTTTTTTGAGAAGGAGTTTCTCTCTTGTTGCCCAGGCTGGAGTGCCATGGTGCAGTCTCAGCTCACTGCAACCTCCACCTCTCTGGAGGCAGCTTTCCTGCCTCAGCTTCCCAAGTAGCTGGGATTATAGGCCTGTGCCACCACATCCAGCTAATTTTTTTTTTTTTTTTTAAAGTAGAGATGGGGTTTCTCTGTGTTGGTCAGACTGGTCTTGAACTCCTGACCTCAGGTGATCCGCCTGCCTTGGTCTCCCAAAGTACTGGGATTACAGGCCTTTTGCGCCCAACCTACTTTTACTTTCTAAGAACTGGGAAGACGAGGGTCTGTTCAGTAGGCTTGTTTCGGGGATTGACAGCATTCCACTAAGGGACTAGCAAACAATGAAGAAACCCAGTTCAGCTTCACATTTAATTCAAGCCCCATTCCATCTGAGACAGAAAAACGTCATCTTAGTTCATTTTGGGCCCACTTAGTTTTTTTTAGATTGAAAAAAACTCATCAATTGATGATGAAACCTGTCATCACCCCCCACCTCAAGGTGGTATCTAAGTTGCAGGAGACTGTCGCAGGAGCCTAGTGCTCTAGGAGGCCACTGGTCCTCACTCAGTGTTTGTCCTCTCTGCTGTTCATGAGACTGATGGTTTTTGTCCGAGCCTTTGTCACCGCTGTATGCTGGCATCCACTGTGAGGCCCTCATTGCCTTTGGATCTCTGGACATGCCATCCTCTTCAGCTTCTGGAGCTGATCCCTTATCTGGGCTGGAATTCTCACTCCACCACTTCCACACCCTTTCAGGGCCATGGAGGTGGTTTAGCTGCTTTTCTGTGAAAGGGAACAGGTTGGGGTCACTGCCCAAAGCCCCTGCCTCATTTCTCCAGGTCGGGGTGGGTGCTCACAGTGGGGAGATGTGGCTCCTCTGGGGAACGAGAAGCAGGAGAGAGACTACTCTGCTCTCTCTGAGCTGTTAGGAAAGTCCCTGTTCCTCACTCATTTTCCTGACGGGTCCCAAAGCCCACCCAGGCCTTGACAGACCAGAGGGTACAAGGCTGGGGTGACAGAGATCTGGAGAGGACCCACCAGTGAGGACTCTTTGCTTTCACAAGAAAATAGCATCTCTACTATTCTCATACTGTGGTGATTCTGAGAGTGCACTGGGAAGGACATGCAAAGCCTCCCAGATTCCAAGATTTCCCAGTGCTCTGTGGTTTTCCATCCATTCCCTCCACCCCTCACAGCTAACCCTGGGTTAGGGGAAACTCTGGGCTCATTTTCAGCCTGTTCTCTTCTCTGACTGTCCTACATTCCTCCCCCAGCTATAAGGATCTCTGCCTAGTCCAGGCAGATCATGTATTCCACCCAAAAATCTTTGTCCTATATGTGTAGTGTGTTTTTTACACTGAAATCCAAAGTTTTTCTGTTTTCTGGCTCTTCCATGAAAAATCACCCCCTTGGGGCAATGGGAATCTCGCAGCAGGATTGTTGTGCACTGTGAGGCATGGAGTGCAGACAGGATGCGACAGTTTCTTTCAGAACATCTTTTTTTTTTTTTTTCTTTTCCCAGAACATCTCTTTTTAAGAATGAAAAACTTAGGCCGGGTGCGGTGGCTCAAGCCTGTAATCCCAGCACTTTGGGAGGCCGAGGCGGGTGGATCACGAGGTGGAGAGATCGAGACCATCCTGGTCAACATGGTGAAACCCTGTCTCTACTAAAAATACAAAAAAAAAAAAAAATTACCTGGGCATGGTGGCGCGTGCCTGTAATCCCAGCTACTCAGGAGGCTGAGGCAGGAGAATTGCCTGAACCCAGGAGGCGGAGGTTGCGGTGAGCTGAGATCGCACCATTGCACTCCAGCCTGTGTAACAAGAGGGAAACTCCGCCTCAAAAAAAAAAAAAAAAAAAAAAAAAAAAGAATGAAAAACTTGTGGCTGGACATGGTGGCTCACAACTGTAACCCCAACACTTCGGTAAGCCAAAGCAAGATTGCCTAGGCTAGGAGTTTGAGACCAACCTAGGCAACATAGTGAGAGCCTGTCTCTACAAAATAAAAAAAAAAATAGTAAAAGAATGAAAGAGTAGGCGCAGTGGCTCACGCCTATAATCCCAGTACTTTGGGAGGCTGCAATGGGTGGATCTTTTGAGGTCAGGAGTTCAAGACTAGCTTGACCAACATGATAAAACCCCACCTTTACTAAAAATATAAAAATTAGCTGGGCACGGTGGTAAGCATCTGTACTCCCAGCTACTCAGCAGGCTGAGGCAGGAGAATTCCTTGAACGTGGGAGGTGGAGGTTGCAGTGAGTTGAGATTGCGCCACTGCACTCTAACCTAGGCGACAGATCGAGACTGTCTCAAAAAAAAAAAAAAAAGAAAAGAAAAAACCTTCCCTGAGGCCCCTTGGCAGAACTTCCTGCCTTACAGTTCATTGGCATTCAACCATTATAACCAGACTACATGGGTAATATGGCCACTGACAGGTCCAGAACACTTTCAGCTCCAGGGAAGAGAACACCAAAGAAATGATGGCTTCATATTGTAGGACATTCACTTCCTTAACTAGAAGTTTAGAAGCAGATGGTTTCTGGGAAGAAGGTAGTCTCTGGGTGGTTTGGTGGCTCCCTGGCTGCCTGTGGTCTCATGATTGCAGATGACTGCAACAGCTCCCAACCTCACATTTTCACTCAAAGTAGGAAAACTTGGCACAGAGGGGAGCTGGGAAATGCCCCTATGGGCTCTCTCTTCATCAGAAGCCTCTCACCCCACCCCCAGCAGCTCTCATACATCTCACTGGCCAGATTGGATCACATAACACCCCCAGCTGCAAGGGAGGCCAGGAGAGTATCTGACCTTTTTCAGCCTCTAGAATGAGAGGTGAACAAGTGAGAAGGGGTGAGAATGGCTGCTGGGTTAGCGAATCAGCTCAGCTTCCTGTATCTGCCAAGATTTCCACCTTGACTCACTCCCAGGGCTGAGGCTGGGGCCCATCTGCCCTCAGACAGAGAGAGTAGATCCCTGTACAAAAGCAGAAGGAATAAGCAGAGTAAATAGCAACCAGCAGTCTCATCTATGCCTCCTCTCCGCCAGGAATGCCTGCTGCCAGGTCGAGTGCCTTGAGCAGCACTTGGGACACCCTCGGCCCTCAATAAACTGGAGCTATTCTTGGTTCCCTCCCCTCTGCCTTTCCCCTCCACACAACTGCCTACAGAGCATCTATAGATTGAGTTCTCAAGTTACAGTAGAATAATGCTGGAGTAACAAGACACTCAGACAGTAACAATCCAGGCAGCCTTCCTATCGAGAACCTACAGAGCTGGCTCAGGTTACTGCAGAAGGAGGCAGGAGCAGCTGAGTAACCAGGTTCCCTGCCGAGTGGCCCGGGATCTGGCCTGCAAATCCCTACCAGGTGGACAGATGTTGACACAGCACTCCTTTCCTGTCCTTCCTCTGCCCTTCACCTGGCAGCCCAGGCCTGCTGAGACTGCGAGGGAGATCAGCTGATGGAGGACTTGGAGCTGGCTGGAAAGAGGGAGAGGCTGGCCTTGGTATATCCCCTGGAGTGCCAAGAGGAGGGATGTAGTGAAGGAACTCTGGACTGCCTCCATGCCCCAAAGTGCATTTCCCCAGTGACCATCTCGCCTTGAAACTGCAACTTGACAGGTTTTTGGTGCCCCTAAACTGGAATCTGGGCCATTTTATGCACAGGTCCCATTTCATGGCTGGCAAAGGCTGCCCTCTCCAGCCCATTGTTTTCCCAGCTAACAGTTCTCAGCCTTGAAGACTCAGCATTGCCTCCTCAGGAAGCCTGTTTGTTAGTGCTCCCGTGGTGCCCAAGCCCTAGGCCTCATCAGAGCCCGCCTCGTGCATTGACACCCACTTCCGCCTCCATTTCCACCTCTAGTCTATGAGCTCCATATGGCCAAGAAAGAAGCTAGTTCCCTTTGTATCCCCTATTCTCACCCAGGGCTGTGTCTGGCTCAGGTGAAAGTCTGAGGATTATAAACACAGGATTTGGAATCACACAGATTAAAGTTTGAGTCCCTTTACCATGTGACCTTGTCTCAGCCTCTACTCCTCTGTAAAACTGGAAATTATTATACTGTTGATAGAGCAACCAGACATGGCATTACTCCTGAATGTGACAATTTGATATGTACAGCACCACCCAATCTTCTTGCCAAAAAACTGAACAAGAGTCTGGAAAAGGCCCTGGATCTGCCGACCAGTTTGTAAGAAATAAATGTAGAGGAAAGTGGTGAACATAACCACGGGAAATGATCGCAGTCTAACCTGTATGCACCAGCCCTACAGGACAAGTGACCTGGTTTCTTCCACAGAATGAGGGCCTGAAGAGTACCAGGGCCGGGTGGAGAGGGGAGAAATTACTGTCAGATTAAAAGAAATGAGATACTTCAACCAAAAGCAATGATGGACCTTGTTTGGACCCTCAGTTAAAGTAAATGTAAAGAAATCTCGGTGAGACAACTGAAATGAAAAAAGAGCAAAAGCCAGGCACGGTGGCTCACACCTGCAATCCCAGCACTTTGGAAGGCCAAGAAGGGCAAATTACCTGAGATCAGAAGTTTGAAACCAGCCTGGCCAACGTGGTGAAACCCCATCTCTACTAAAAATCAAAAATTAGCTGATCATGGTGGTGCATGCTTGTAATCCCAGCTACTTGGGAAGCTGAGGTGGGAGAATCGCTTGAACCCAGGAGGCAGAGGTTGCAGTAAGCCGAGATTGCCTCATTGCACTCTAGCCTGGGCGACAAGAGTGAAACTCCATCTCAAAAAAAAAAAAAAGAAAAAGGAGCACAAACTTTCTAGTATGAGGTGACACGAAGGAATTACTGTTAATTTTGTTACGTATGATAGCAGTGTTGTAGTTTTGCTAAAGGAAATAAGTCTTCAAGTAGGAGATAAATGCTGGAGTAGCTACAGGCGAACTAATGGGATGCCTTCGATTTGCTTTTTTTTTTTTTTTTTAATCCCTTCCCACCCCCTGCAATTTCCTTTAAAGTAATCTACTTAAAACATCTGGAGGAGAAACATCTCAGTTTAAACAAAACTGAGAAAATCCATATTATTATTGAAGCTAGGTGATAGATAATGTGGATAACAGGCTTCTTACATTGTTCTTTTGACTTTAAATGGGGGGGTAAGAAATGAGTCAACATATACAAAGTGCTCAGTAAGTGTTAGCAGTTATTAGCCTATCAAATCCTCACAGCAATCACATCAAGTAGGTCCTTTGTTAGCTCCTGTTCTTTTTTCCCCTGAGACAGAGTCTCGCTCTGTTGCACAGACTGGAGTGCAGTGGCTCAGTCTCGGCTCACTGCAAGCCGTCCAGGTTCAAGCGATTCTCCTGCCTCAGCCTCCTGAGTAGCTGGGATTACAGGCGTGTGCCACCACACTCGGCTAATTTTAGTATTTTTGGAGATGGGGGTTTCTCCATGTTAGCTAGGCTGGTCTTGAACTCCTGACCTCATGATCTGCCTACTTTGGCCTCCCCAAGTGCTGAGATTATAGGCATGAGCCACTGCGCCCATCATTTTCATAGATGGGGGAGCCACCCTCAGAAAAATTAAAGCTGAGGTCCCACCAGAATGGTTGGAGGAATTAAATGGGTTAAAACATAGGAAGTGCTTAGCATGAGGTCTGGTGCATATCAAGTGTTTAGCAAATGTCTGCTGTAATTAATTTTAACATCACCATTTGCTGAAGTGAATATGACCAGCCCTTCCTTCTTGTAGAACAGGAAGCTGCTTGCCGAGCGAGATGGAGTGAAGAGGAGAAGTCAGGAGCTGGCCGTGGAGAAGGACACTTTGAAGGTGCCACTCCTTCCTAGTGCCTGACAATTTTCCACCACCCCAGGGCCATTTTTCCCATTTCTGGTCTTAGTGACTGCAGTCTGATGAGAGCAGTGTCTTCCATCAAGCTGTCAGGCTCCCAGGACCACCCAGGCATCCCTGAAACCCCTGAAGTCCTGGGTTATCTCAGGAGGGTGCATAGATGGGGTGCAGGAGAGCAGATTGGGCCAGAGGGAGGGCAGGACCAAGGAGAGTCCTGGGAGGCTGGACAGACGGACAGGCTCCTCTCTTGGCAGCGGCAGCTCTATGAAAGTGAACACCTCATTTGCCAACGAGACACCATCCTCTCTGAGGTGAGGGGCCTGGGGAGGGAAAGAGATTTGCCTTCCATGTGCACCTGCCACTTCTAGACCTGCCCCTGGTCTAAAAAGGGAAGTCCTGCTTGGGTCTGATCACTGGATGTGCAGCCCTGAGAGACTGGAGGGCTGCCCCAGGTCCCAAGTGTGACGCCTCAGGGATTTAGAAGCCCTTCTGCCCGGTGCTCTCCCTCAGGCTCTAGCTCTTCCCTCAAGCTCACCCTGTCCCTTAAACCCCAGCCAGCCCCCCACCAACCACCACCACCAGCCCTAGTGTCTTTGGGGAACTGGGCCCAGTCTCGTTTGGCTTTCGGCTTTCCCAGCGTACGCGCCATGTGGAGAGCCTGGCCCAGACCTTGGAAGAATACAGAGTGACAACACAGGTAACCTAGCTGCCCTCGACACTTCTCTTTTGACAGCTCTGGGACTTGCCGCCTCTCCTCCTTGTGCCTTTCTCTCGGTGGCCACATCTTCCTCCATCCTTACTATATGACTGTATGGCTTACTGTATGTCTCCACCTCTGTTTCTGTATCTTTTCATGTTTTCTCTGTTCCTTCCATTGACTTTCATTCTCAGTGGGTGTCTTCTCACTGCGTCTTCCCTCCTTATCTGTACATGTCTCTGCCAGGCTCGTGCGGGTTCCCGCCTCTGCCTCCGGGTATAGGCTGTCTGTTTCCCTGGGCAACTCTTCTCTGTTTGGCTCTGGTCTTTACAAGTGTCTTGGACTCGTGTTTCTCTTGCCTTTCTGTGAGTCTGTTTCCTTCTATGTCTCTCATGTTTTCATGCATCTCTGCCTCTGCCTGCCTTCTCTCAATTTTCTTGGCTGTGCTTCTGGGTTCCTGTTGCTCTCTGTCTCTCTTTAGCTTCCTAATGTTCTGTCATTGCTTTCTTCCCCTTGTCCCTAGGCAGTATGTGTCTGGGGAGCCCAAAGTAGGCAGGAAAGTGGAAAGAAGCCTGGAAGAGAAGCCCAGGTTGGGTGGGAGGATGGGAAAAACGGAGAGCCAGGTGTGCCCCACTTCCTCCTTTTCAGGAACTGAGGCTGGAGATCTCACGCCTGGAGGAGCAACTGAGTCAGACCCACGAGGGGCCAGATGAGTGAGTGGAACTTCAGAGGGTGGGAAGAGGCAGGAGGGGAGCCTAAGGCAGGGACGCCCTGGCCTCCAGCCCCAAGGTGGGCAGGGAAGGGAGCCCAGCATACACTGACTGATGAGTGGCAAGCAGGCACAGAGGCAGCCTTCCTCCCTTCTGACTGTATGGCCAGGCTACCTGAAGGGGCCCAGGTGACAACAATGGGCTGGACCAAGCTGCTGCCCCCATCGCTGGGCTTGGAGATCGAGGCCGTTCAGCAGGTGGGCCAAACACCCCTGAAATATGCTGCAGGCCACCAAGGCAGAAACTCCAAACATCTCCCCACCCTGATCCTCACACCAACCCAGCCCTAACCCACATTGCTGCCCAAGGCTCCCGTGGCAACCTTAGTTTTTCTGACTCTCTCAGATCCCAACCCCAAACCCACTGCCAGCCCCAGGCCTGTGCCAGACCCCAGTCTGATCCAGCTGTGACTCATCTCCCTCCATGACCATCTCACTCCTTAACTTCATCTCTAACCCAGTCCTTTGTCCTGGCACCAAACCCTCCCCTGTCCCTGCTTCTGCCCATTCCCACCCCAAGCCCCACACCAGCCCGTTTCCACCTCTCATCCTATATTCAGCCACACACCTAAACCCGTTTCTGTCTCTGACCTTGTCTTCTACCTTCATGTGGCTCTCCCTGAACTCAGAAACAACTTCCATCCCAGAAACAGGACGTGGCAACTGCTGATCTCTCCAGCCCTCTGTGTGGAGTGTGGCAATGGGAAGAAGTCATCAATGAAACCAGTGAGGAAGCTGAGTTTCTATCTGAAGCCCCAGCTGGGGGACAGGTGAGCACAGGAAAAGCTCTAAAGTCCAGGAGCTGGAAACAGGCCCGGAACTCCAGGTGCCAGGAACTCCAGGTGCCTGGCCAGCCCATTCACTCACACCTTTGCTAGTTCCCCATTTAATGAGAAAATGTTAATTAAGGGCCCACTGTGTGCTAGACAGTGAGCCACAAGCCAGACCACACACCACCCCTGCCCCAGGGACTGACCTGCCAGCGTTGTAGACAAAGGTGAGCAAAGCAAACACACAAATCGCACTGTGGCTTTTGCTCTTGTTTTGTTTTTTAGAAAACACCCTCAGGAATTACGTTATTTAAAATTGTACTACTGTAGTAAAGGCATAAGTAAGTTGTTTATTCTAATATTTTAAGGATATATTAAGCATATATGTTTCAAATACAGGCACCTTTAAGAAAAGCCAGCAAGCTCACTATGACAATAGTCACTATGACTATTCCTTTTAAGTCAGCAATAACCATTGTGTGTGGTTTTTGTTTGTGTGTTTGTTTGTTTAAGAGACGGGATCTTGTCTTATTCTGTTGCCCAGGCTGGAGTGAACTTGACTAACTGCAGCCTCAACCTCCTGGACTCAAGCAATCCTCCCATCTCAGCCTCCCAAGTAGCTGGGACTACAGGCACACACCACCATGCCTGGCTAATTTTTTAATTGTATTTGTTTGTTTATTTTATTTTGAGACAGAGTCTTGCTCTGGAGCGCAGTGGCACGATCTCCGTTCACTGCAACCTCCACCTCCTAGATTCAAGCAATTCTCCCTGCCTCAGCCTCCCAAGTAGCTAGGATTACAGGCACCTGCCACCACACCCAGCTAATTTTTTTATTTTTACTAGAGATGGGGTTTTGTCATGTTGGCCAGGCTGGTCTTGAACTCTTGATCTCAGGTGATCTGCCCACCTCAGCCTCCCAAAGTGCTGCGATTACAGGTGTGAGCCACCTTGGCTGGCCTTTAAAAAAAAAATTTTTTTTTTTTTTTGAGACGGAATTTCACTCTTGTTACCCAGGCTGGAGTGCAATGGCACGATCTCGGCTCACCGCAACCTCTGCTTCCTGGGTTCAAGCAATTCTCCTGCCTCAGCCTCCTGAGTAGCTGGGATTACAGGCACGTGCCACCATGCCCAGCTAATTTTTTGTATTTTTAGTAGAGACGGGGTTTCACCATGTTGACCAGGATGGTCTTGATCTCTTGACCTCGTGATCCACCCGCCTCGGCCTCCCAAAGTGCTGGGATTACAGGCTTGAGCCACCACGCCCGGCCTTAAAAAATTTTTTTATAGAGATGGGGTCTCACTGTGTTGCCCAGACTGGTCTCAAAATCCTGGGTGCAAACTGTCCTCCCACCTCAGCCTCCCAAAGTGCTGGGATTACAGGCATGAGACACTGCACCTGGCTTTTTTTTGAGACAGAGTCTCACTCTCTTCTCTGTTGTCCAGGCTGGGGTGCAGTGGCATTATTGCAGCTCACTGCAGCCTCAATCTCCCTGGGCTCAGGTGATCCTTCCACCTCAGCCTCCCAAGCAGCTGGAACCACAGGCACATGCCACCATGCCTAGCTAATTTTTCTCTCCCTATGTTGCCCAGGCTGGTTGAACTCCTGGGCTCAAGTGATCCACCTACCTCAGCCTCCAGGAGTACTGGGATAACAGGCATGAGCCACTGCTCTGGGCTCTCTCTCTTTTTTTTTCTTTTAAAGAAAATATTGCAAACAGCTCCATAAGCAACGCTGTATTGTCTTGAGAACCGTACCACTTCAGAGCTCTTTGCCATCCTTAAGGAGAGTCTCATTTCTCTGATCACTTTTTCCCTGGTTTGAGAAAAACTTCTGTGTTTCTCTTTGATACCAGCACTTATTTAGTTTCTCATTTAACTCTCCCAGTATCTCTGTAAGGCATGCATCCTCATCTTGTTACTCATGGGAAACTGAGGCTCAGGGAGAAATCACATGTCCATAGTCACACAGCTTGTTGGGGACAGAGCCTTATCCCTCAAAAGTGTAAATTAGGCCGGGTGCGGTGGCTCAAGCCTGTAATCCCAGCACTTTGGGAGGCCTGAGGACAGGTGGATCACGAGGTCAAGAGATCGAGACCATCCTGGTCAACATGGTGAAACCCCGTCTCTACTAAAAATACAAAAAAATTGGCTGGGCATGGTGGCACATGCCTGTAATCCCAGCTACTCAGGAGGCTGAGGCAGGAGAATCGCCTGAACCCAGGAGGCGGAGGTTGCGGTGAGCCGAGATCGCGCCATTGCACTCCAGCCTGGGTAACAAGAGCGAAACTCCGTCTCAAAAAAAAAAAGTGTAAGTTAGTTTGGGCTTCTGCTTTGAGCTGTCAGATGCCCCAAATGACAGGCCTGTCGAGGGGAAGACTGAGCCAGGCCTCAGGGTGCAATCGGCGATGGGCCCAGGGATACAGAGGTGAGTCCCTTGGGGCCGGGCCTGTCAGTGCTCAAGGCCTGATAGGAGAGACCCTGCAAATGGGTTGCCCCAGTGCAGAATGATCATTGTGCTAGAGTTGGGGCATGGGCCTGTGGGAGCCCCAAGAAGGATTATCTGTGTCAGGTCAGAGACTTGGGGAGATATTGAAGGGAAACTAACAGTTGAGTTTATTTGAAAAAAAAGAAGGAAAGGGAGAGGGATATTAAGTGGTTGGAGGAAAGAGAGGCCTTTGAGGCACTGGCACAGCCTTTGTAGGGCCTTGGCATAAAATCTTGGTATGCTTGGGAGTACAGGGTGGCTGGGGGTGACTATCGAGAGATGAGGCCAGGGCCAGATCGTGAAAGGAAATCTCTGACAAGCTAACAGATTGTACTTTTCTTTGTAAAGCCACAGGAAGGCTGGTGTCAGTTCTGGGCATAAAAATGTCCCCCTGGGACCATGTGAGGGACCTACTGGAGGCAGGGAGGAGGCTGGAGCAATGGTGATGAAGCCTGAGCCAGGCCAGAGCCCTAGGCATGGAGGAAAAGGGACAGACAGACATAACTGGGGTGGAGGGACAGAGCTGGGCACAGATGGGATGTGGGTGATGGGGAGGGAGGAGAAGAGGAAAGACTTGCAACTTGTAACCTTGTGAGGTGAAATCTTGAGGGATGTCTGGGGGCTACCTGGAAGCAGTTGGGTGCACCAGCCTGGACCTCAAGGACTGCATTTAGAAAACAATGTCGGCTGGGCATGGTGGCTCACACCTGTAATCCCAGCACTTTGGGAGACCGAGGCAGGTGGATCACCTGAAGTCAGGGGTTGGAGACCAGGCTGACCAACATGGTGAAACTCTGTCTCTACTAAAAATGCAAAAATCAGCTGGGCATGGTGGCGCACACCTGTAATCCCAGCTACTCGGGAGGCTGAGCCAGGAGAATCACCTGACCCTGGGAGACGGAGGTTACAGTGAGCTGAGATCACACCATTGCACTCCAGCCTGGGCAACAAAAGTGAATCTCTGTCTTGAGAAAAAAAAAGAAAAGAGGAAAACAATGTCAAGTTGGTTGTTGAGGTCAAGGGCAATGCTGACATTTCTCTGAAGAAAACAAGAGGTTCTTGGGTCCTGAGTGAGAGCAGATGGACCCAGCCCAAGTCTGGGATGCTGGGAGGAAAAGGCGGTTGGGCAGGGAAATGCTGACATCCTTTGGGGCCCAGGTAAGTGTACGAGATCTGTGGAACATCCAGAAGGTTTAGGTGACCAGGACTCCTGGGTCCTGCAGGAGAAGGGGGCTTGGTGACATCAAGAACAATGCTTTGGTTTCTGGCTTCTGCTGTTAGGGAGATAATAGGGTCATCCTCACGTAGGGGAGCGTGAGAGCAGGGCAGGTTGTAGAAGGTGGTGAATTTGTGGACAGGTTGCTGCCCAGAAGACCTTTTGCTTATGGGGTCTGGGACCAGGAGACAGTGAGCATTGTTAGGGTTAGGACCTTGAGTGAGAAGAATCAGAGAAGAACTAACCTTTTTGTTTCCACAGAGAAACTTCCAGGGAGAGCCAGCACACCCTGGAGAAGGAAGGAAGGAGCCGTCCATGTGGTAAGGAGCTGAGCCATCCATCTGCCTCAGGATGTTTAGAGTAGGAGGACGAGATGAGCCCTGAGAGGGTCTGCATGCCACCACTCACTCATTATTCACATCTTCCAGGAGCAGACCCTGGGCTGGTAGGCTAGGAGATGAGACCTGGCCCTTCCCTCAGCGAGTCCTGGGACTAGGAGGAGATCTGGCTCCTGACCCTGCCTCAGGGGAGGTCTCCTAGGGAGGCCACCATGCCTGAATGGAGCCCTGTGGGAGTGGCGTTAGTACAGGAGACTCTTAGACAAGAAGACACAATTGTCAGGCAGAAGGGACAGCTCAGTCACGCAATCATTCTGTCACTGAACACACCTCTCCCGATGCTCCAGGGAACCTCCTTAGAGAGCTCCCAGTCACCTGGGATATCTTGAGGGTGAGGAGGGTCTCTGGAATCAGTGTGGATTCAAATCCCAGCTCAGGTACTTCAAAGTGCGACAGATGTGAGCATTAGGTCATATGTTGTGAGCTCCCAGCCCTGTGATTGGGATATGATTGTTAGGAGGCTGTGTCCAGGCCTGTGACGATGGAGAAAGCACTAGATATCTGGGCCCACCCTCCTCCAGAACCCTGGCCTTGGGGCCTCTGGTTTCCTGTGGTGCTTCCTTCTCCCCTCCCCTCTTTCAGGCTCCCAGCTGCAGCTCCTAATGAGGCTGCCTGCCAAGGCCTCTAATTGGACTTGTCTGGGAGGAGCTGAGATTGGGCGGGATGGGAGCTCTGGAGCTATGACCTCCCTTTGCGTCACCAGAGAAAGGAGGGGGAAAGGGGCTGAGCAGTAGTGGAACGGGGGTGGGAGGGGGGAGGCAGGTACCATGGAGTTTCCGGAGGGCAGGGGCAGTTTGATCCACAGATTGGAAAGCTGGGAGTGAGGAAGGTGCTGAATACAATGCCCCCTAAAGGCAGCCAGCAGTGAGAACTTGGACCTTGAGAGGGGCTGGATCCCAAGTAGAAGTTTCAGGGGATCAGATAGTGTTTGTCTGACTGGGGCAGAGGCCCGTGGGCCTAAGTGCACTAGATCCCTTATTGCATGGTAGCACAGCTGTGTTCCTGAGGGCATCTCTGAGGGTTTTGGGGCTGAAGCTGATAGTGGTGGCAACTATAGGGCTGGATCCCTGGACCCCAATGAAGGCAGTGGCTGGTGGTGTGGATGGCAGGGACTCAGACGGCTGTGATCCTAGGAGGGGCCTCCCTAGGAGTCTTCCCTGGAGGCAAGGTCAGGAGCCAGATCTCCTCCTAGACCGGAGACTCGGAGGGCAGAGCCAGGTGTGACTCATCTCCTGGCTTACAGGCCCAGGTTCTACTGGAAGATGTGATTTAATGAATGAATGAGTGGCATGCTGCCCCCTCATGGTTCTTCCTGTCCTTCTGGAAGAGGGGCTTACACACCTCAGAGGATCTGGGTTGCGGAAGAGCTCCAACAGTTGGATTCTGTGCGTGGGAAGGTCTGAGTTGGAGTCCTAGTCCTCCGAGAACACCCAGTGAGAGTCATGGAAAAATGGCTCAACCCACTAGATAGGAAGGGGGTTTCTACACATGCTCTGGGGTCTCAGAGAGGCCTGAATCTCTGGTATTTTGGAGAGTAAGAGAGCCGGAAGCCTCAGTTCCGAGCTGGGGGATCAGCTGGGGAAGTAGTAGCTGAGAAAGCAAATCTGAGATGAAGAGGCCCCCTTACTCTTCTGGCATTTAAAGACCCTTTCAATAATTTGGTGAAAATTCCCCTGAAAAATACATATGCAGGACACCCCTGAGGCCCTTCCATGCTGCCTGGCCTGTGCTAAGACCCCTGCTCCAAGGCTTCCCTCCCAGCCTGTAGCAGGCAAAGAGAACTAGGGAGAAGAGGACGATGCCAGCAGTGACTTTGTTGGTCCACAGGTTAACCAGAAGAGAGGAAGAGGAGGCTGCAGAGAGCCAGGTCACGGTAGGCAGTCCCCAGGACCCCTCCCCCGTCCCCATCCACTCCAAGCCCGCAGAGGCTCAATTGTTTCAACTCTTCCCCAAGCCCCAGCCTCAGACCCCCAACTCCTCAGGAGCAGAGAGAAAAATCATTTGGCCAAGAGATAACAAGGACCTTGCTGTAGCTAATGAGAGAGTGACGGGGAGGTTGGGGGAGGCTTGGAGGCTAGTGGGCGGCCAGGCTGCTCCCAGGGGACTTCCCCAGCCACACACAGGGCTGCAGTCACCACACGGCAGACCTCATAGACGTGGCTACACCCACGGATTGCATAGATGCACACGCACATTCGCCCACACTCGGAGGAGGTTGGGTTGGCCCTCCCCAGCCAGCCTCAGAATTCCCTGGAGGCACAATGCTCCCCTGCCTGCAGCCACACAGGCTGGCTCCTCTGCTCCTCAGAGCGGCTGTGCTCGGTGGAGGTTAGGATTTCGATTCTCAGGCAAGGAACGGGAAACAAATTTGGTAAGGAGAGGTGAGGAGTCCTCAGTTCTGAGCTGAGGAATGCAAGAGCTGGGCTGGAGTCTGCCTGTTGTAGGTCAGGCACTGTCAGGGTCCTTGGGGCTCTTCAGGGTCCAAATCGGCTAAGATGGCTGCCTCCAGGATGCTCAGCCCCCAGCAGCCTGGCCCCAAAGTCCACCTCCTCTCGACATACCACACTCCCTTGCCCCAGAGACTGGGGCTCCACCTCAATTTCCTCATAGCTCACATGGGGATAATCTCTTCCTAGCTCCCAGGGTTGGGATGAAGGTTAAGGACCACATCATAAAGGGCTTGCGTGCCTGCCTAGCACAACAGGTGTTGGAGGTGAAGATACTGATCATGATTGGTGTTCTGTTTTTTACTGACATCATCATCTTCATCTGTGTCAGAAAGGCATCGGGGTGGGAAGGCCAAAGACCTATAAGGGGAGGCCCTTCCAGGGAAACAGGAGGGATGAGGCAGTACAGTGGGTAGGGCCTGACCTCTGGAGAAACAGCTGGGGCTTTAATCGTTGAATCTTCAGAGAAAGTATTGGAATTAATCAGTGAATTCAGCATGGTTGCTGGGTTAAAAGTCAAAAAAATCAATCATATTTCAGTGTAGCAACAATGAGCAATGAGAAAAATTAATTTATATCATTTATAATAGCATGGGGTTTTTTTTGTTTGTTTTTTTGAGACAGAATCTCGCTCTGTTGCCAAGCTGGAGTGTAGCAGCACCATCTTGGCTCACTGCAACCTCTGCCTCCCTGGTTCAAGTGATTCTCCCACCCTCGGCCTCCTGAGTAGCCAGGATTACAGGCACACTCCACCACACCCAGCTAATTTTTGTATTTTTGGTAGAGAAAGGGTTTCACCATGTTGGCCAGGATGGTCTCAATCTCATGCCCTTGTGATCTGCCTGCCTCGGCCTCCCAAAGTGCTGGGATTACAGGTGTGAGCCACCACGCCCAGCCTATGATGGCCTGTTTTTAGTTAGTAAAGCACCTGCTGATTCTGGCATAGGCAGGAAAACAGGATTCTGCATGAGGGCCAGCATGGGGGTGCGCACCTGTAGAAGATGTGGTCTCTGCCCTCAGAGAGCGTAGATACTTCCAGAATCTGATGGAAAATGGAGGTGATGATATTGAATAGCTCACGCAGACATCGAACACTCACTATGTACCAGGCACTGTCCAAAGTCACTGCCTGCCTTTTTTTTTTTTTTTTCTATATTCCTTCATTTAGTCATTTAGTCTCCTTGTTAATCCTATGAGGTGGAGACATCCCTGGCTAGCAGATGGGGAAAGAGAGGCACAGAGAGGTGTGGTAACATGTCAAGGACCCTCAGCCCAGAAGCTGGCAGAACTGGGAACCCAACCTGGCAGCGTGTCTCAGAGAAGCTCACTCAACTCCTGAGTTCCACCACCTTCTGTGTGGTCACTGTGTCCAGCGGGCTGACCTGAGGGCCTCTCAGTCCCGAACTCAGTGCCTCAAATGCATCTCTTTGTCCTTCCAGGCTGATCTCCCCATCCTGCTAAGAGACTCTCACTCTGGAGACATCGCAGAAAGCCCTCCAAGGAGGTAATAGGACCCACCGGATCCAGGAGGGAAACTGGGGACAAGGAAAAACCAGTGTTGATTCCCTCCTTTCCCCCAGCAGCCCTGCCCAGCAGGATCTCCGGCAAGCCCTGGTCCCTGTGATGAAGGAGCTGGTCCCAGTCAGGAGGAGACCCTGGGGCCAGCTCTTCCTGCCCCCACAGCAACTCAGGTGTGCCCCCAGGCACCTCCAGAAGGAAGGAGGTGTTCTGACTTTGGGAAGACCAGGGTCTGCCCGACTCTGCCCTAAGCACTCTCCCACCGCCCACCAGGGTCACTCGGTATCCGCTGATCCCAGCTCCAGTCCTGGGCCTGCTGCTGCTGCTGCTCTCTGTCCTGCTGCTGGGCCAGTCCCAACCTCCCACCTTGCCCCACCTCCAGCTCTGCTACCTCCAGCCCCCTCCAGTGTGAGAGGCTCTGCTTGCCCCTCGGAACAGTGTCTAGTTCAATAAATCCCCTGGCACTCTCTCCACTCGGATCCCCTTTGTTAGGCCAGTGTTGCATGGGCTTACCCCAGATACTGTACAGGGAGATCCACATCCCTGCATTGGGTTTATGTGAAGTCTCCTAGTTTTTTAATGTTGACATTTCTTAACAAAAGCAAAACTTCCCCAGTAACGGATTAAGCACTAAGGATTATTCCCTCACAAAACAAGCCTGGCGAGGGCAGCTTTGGACACACAGCGAAGTCTCAGCTGCCTCGGGGTCAGGGCCTCATTGATTCTCCTGTCCCTCTCTCACGCTCAGGAATTGGCAGTTGTAGCTTCCCACATCACATCTGCAGGGAGACGGAAACTCATCCCTTCCTTTTTATAAAGAGAGGCAGTAGCCTTAGTGTGCAACGGGTAGATTCAAATCATAATCATAATGAGAGAGAAGCAGTCGCCTGCCCACAGCCACCAGCAGACTTGTGTCTGTCTCGCCGGTCAGACTGTTTGGTGTGACCACCCTCAACTGTAAGGGAGGCTGGGAGACCTGGGAGGCCAAGACCGGCTGTCTTGCAGCCACTCAGAACCTGTGTGCTAGTAACGACGCATGTGGGGAAGGCAGATAAAGTGCCTTGCCACGCTCCTCATTCACACAGAAAGACACTGCAGGCCAGCTGGGCGCCATGGCTCACGCCTGTAATCCCAGCACTTTGGGAGGCTGAGGTGGGTAAATCACGAGGTCAAGAGATTGAAACTTCACATCCTGGCCAGCATGGTAAAACCCCATCCGTACTAAAAATACAAAAATTAGCCAGACGTGGTGGTGTGCGCCTGTTATCCCAGCTACTTGTGAGGCTGAGGCAGGAGAATCACTTGAACCGGGGAGGCAGAGGTTGCAGTGAGCCAAGATCGCGCCACTGCACTCCAACCTGGCAACAGAGCAAGACTCAAAACACTGCAGGCCATGGACCTAACAAAACACTTTGGGAGCCACCTACACACCACCAGTGTGCAGCTGCTGAGTGGCACATCACCAGGCTACTTTGAAGGGGCTTTAGGATACCTCTTCTCCCTGATCTTTCTGCTTCCTACCTTCTCTACACCTCTGCCTCGCCCTCCCCCAGCAGGATCCTGACTGTGTCCTGCCACCACCTCATGGGTCGGAGCCTAGGCTGACCCAGTCCTAACTGCATCCTAAGTCAGTAAAGAACAATCTTCCGGGGCCAGGCGTGGTGGCTCACGCCTGTAATCCAAGCACTTTGGAGGTCAAGGCGGGCGGATCACCTGAGGTCGGGAGTTCAAGACCAGCCTGACCAACCTGGTGAAACCCCGTCTTAAAAAAAATTTTTTTAATTAAAAAAAAAAAAAAGAATCTTCCAGGACCAGGCGTGGTGGCTCACGCCTTTAATCCCAGCACTTTGAGAGGCCAAGGCAGGTGGATCATCTGAGGTCAGGAGTTCCAGACCAGTCTGGCTAACTTGATGAAACCCTGTCTGTACTAAAAATACAAAAAATTAGGTGTGTGGTGGCAGGCACCTGTAATCCCAGCTACTCTAGAGGCTGAGGCAGGAGAATCGCTTGAACCGGGGAGGCACAGGTTGCAGTGAGCCAAGATTGCACCATTGCACTCCACGTTGGGCAACAAATGGGAAATTTCATCTCAAAAAGAGGCTAGGTGCAGTGGCTCACGCCTGTAATCCCAGCACTTTGGGAGGCTGAGGCGGGTGGATCACAAGGTCAACAGATCGAGACCATCCTGGTCAACATGGTGAAACCCCGTCTTTACTAAAAATACAAAAATTAGCTGGGTGTGGTGGCACACGCCTGTAGTCCCAGCTACTCGGGAGGCTGAGGCAGGAGAATTGCTTGAACTGGGAGGCGGAGGTTTCAGTGAGATCGCACCATTGCACTCCAGCCTGGGCAACAGGAATGAAACTGATCTTAAAAAAAGAAAGATGGGTAAGGTTTGCGTTTTAGTCAGCAGGGGCCCAGGGAGGTGTCACAGAGGTGGAAAAGAGACCAATGTGTGGAAAGCCATGGCCAGCATCCTGTTGCTGGTTTAAAAATTAAAAAGATTTGGAGCCAGGGAAGGATTGGAGGCTACAGAGTGGTGGGAAATAAGAGGTAGGGAAGAGCCCATGAAGGGGTTTGAACACCGGCTTGAATTTTATTCCCCAGTGCCCACGAAAGGGCTGTGAGCAGGGGAAGGCAGAGCTCTGGCTGGGAAGAAGAGCATTCAGGGCCTGTAGAGGAGATGAATGAAGGGAATGAAAATGGAGCCCAGCAGGCGGAGAGGAGTCTGGGGCTGTGGTCCAGGTGGGAGAGAAGGAGAAGGCCTGAGGTAGGGCATGCGGGTGGAGAGGAGAGAAGAGCAGGGGCAGGACTGAGAGGAATTGACCTGGCTGCAGACTGACCAGCTGTAAAGGATGACGAACGGGGCAGGGCAAGGACAGCCCCTGGGACGTGGACCAGTGACTAATAGACAGTGGAACCCTTCCCAAGATAGGAAACCCATGATAAGGAGTGGGTTCAGTGAAAGACTCGGTTCATTTAGAGGCTGGAGTCCTCAGCCCTGAGCTCCCAGGCTGGAGAAGTGGGTCTGGGTGTCGTCACCTGTGGGCGGTGGCAGAAAGTGTGGGGACTGCTGAATTTGCAGAGGGAGGAGGTCCCAGACACCATTTTGGGCAAAAACCTCAAGTGTTCGGAAAGGGATGGGGAGAAAATAGAGTATGGGAAGAGACCAGGCCAGTACGCAGCTACCAGGCCTTCGGGGAAACAGGAGGAGGCTCTTCATAGGGTTGTTGTGAGGTTAAAAAAGCTAATACAAATACTGCGCTTAGAAGAGCGCCTGGTATATAGCAACTGCTCATTAACGTTTTAATTCCATTTATCCATGAGAGTGGCGGAAAAGTCTAGACTTTTGAAATTGCACATATCTGGGTTCCATGTATCCTTTTGTCTCTCGGTAGCTGTAAACAACTTAGGAAAATTCCTCCTGACTCTCGGTCTTATTTGTAAAATTAGGCCAACTCCACAGGGTTTTGGGGAATGCAGTTTTTCATTTGTTATTCGGTATCTGAACGACAGAGGGAAACAGTCCCGCCCCCACAGCCCAAGGACCAATTAGGGCTCGGTCCGCCTTCCGAAAATGCCAGTTCTGGGAGACCTTGCCAACCACACGCGGCGGCCCAGCTTCCCGCGCCGCAGACGTCCCCAAGCTCCACCTTCTTTAGACCAATCAGAGCGCGGTCCGCACGAGCGGCGCCCCAGGCACGGTCCTCTAGCCCTCTGCGGACCACCGGGTTGCCATGGTTACCATTGAGGGGCGGAGCTGTAGGGCAAGCTGAACCTCCGGGGAGAGATGCAGATTTTGATTGGCTGTTTTCTCGCCTCACCTACGGCCCAGGTATCTATCTCCCCGCCCTTTCTCTGTCCGTTTTGGAGCCTGACGTCCGCTCCTCTCTCCTCTCCTCCTGCCCCAGCCTGGCGCCCCAGCGGTCTCCCGAGAAAGACGCCTGAAGTCGGAAAACCCTGAGAAAATTGCTGGAGGCTCCTGTGAGAGGAGGAAACCCTTTTCAAATAAAAGCGTTTCGCTATGTGAAGGGCGCTGTTCTCATTAAGTATATCTTATTGGATCCTCGTAACAGATGAAGAGCAGGAGGCACAGAGACTGACGTCAAGAAGACGTTCTCAATACGAGCCCGCAGCTAGATTTGGAGGACCCTGGGTTTGCATGTCAGGGCTACCTCACACCAGAGCCCCGCAATCTTTTTTCCACTGTGCCTGGGGAGAAGTGTGGAAGTGATGGGAGGCAGGAACCGCGAAATTCAAAGATGAGAGCCGGTGGAGAGACAGAAAACCAACGGAGGGGAAAAAAAAAAAAAAGATATGAAGGAGTCGAGCAGAGGAAAAAGGAGAAAAGAAAGTAATGGAGAAGGGAAGGAAGAGTTTCAGAGGCAGAAAGAGAATAGAGAGAGGAGGCAGAAGACTAGGAAGCCAAGAGGGCGATAAGGGAGATTCCTACAAGGACTCAAAGAGGGGAGGACACACATCCAGAGAGGAAAGAGACCCAGATAAGGGGACAGAGTCAGAGGGGGTCAGAGACCTTGGAGATTACAGAGAACCAGAGAAAAGGGGGCAGAGATTGGGGTAGGGAGGGACCGGGGCCCAGAGTGAAAGGAGACAACAGAGCTGGGGGCAGGGGGCGGTAGGGAAGCAAATATCCAGAAATAGGAAAGAAGCCAGCTGCTTGGACAAAGAAAGCCCGAAGCAAAGAAACTGAATTGAACAAAGATTATAATAGAGTGGGGACTGAAGGGAGAGATGCCTGAGTGGCCGACACAGAGTCCTGTCTCTTTTCTATCCCGCCCTTTCCCGCCCCGCCCCCAACCCAACACACATGCAGGTCGCACAGGAACGAGTCGAAGTCCGGAGGGCACGGCAGGGTCTTTATTAAGGTGGGGACGGGCGGCGCGCTCAGGGCGCGTCCAGCACCAGCAGCTTGTGCATGTACGAGTTCAGCCAGTGGCGGCGCTCGAGGGCGGCCAGCAACCGCGCGCGCTCCCGGAAGGCCGCATCGTCCGCCAGCGCCAAGCTCCTCTGCAGTCGGGGGGTGGTGGGATCCACCCAGGCCCGTCCTGGGGTGCGGAGGCTGTGGAGAGACGCGACGACCGCGCATCCAGACGCGCGCTCGCTGCCGCCTGTCCTCCCCGCGGTCTAACTCAAAGCCCTGTCCGTGGAGTGGCTCTGCCTGGCTCCCCCTGTCTCTCTCGTTCTCTGTGTGGGTCTCTGTCCCTCTACTCACCAGGTTCGAAACTCCCTAGGTACTGAGAGCCAGTCTGATGCACCTGTCCGCGCATGGCGACGAGCGCACCAAGAACCCAATAAAGGTTGCTCAAAGGATGAATCCCTTTCTGTATCTACTCCTTTCTAGCATCTCCACGCCATTCTCAGGATCTGTCTTTCTCTGTCTCTTTCTCTGGCTGATTCTCTGTCCATTTCCCGCACCATTACCACCACCAAACCCCGCTCCCGTGTTCCCCCACTCCTAGTCTCTTTTTCTCGCTGGGTCTTGGTCGCCCTCTTTTTGGGTTTCTGTCCCCCTTTCTGGGTCTTCCTCTGCCTTCCTCTTTGGTTCTCTTCCAACTTCTCCAAGTCCCCACCCTTCCCTGGGAGTCCTGGGCCTGGCACCTACCTGAGGACCCTGGCGGGGGGCAGGGCGACTCCCGAGACAGTGCGGACGCCCCAGGGCACTAGCAGCAGCAGCAGGAGCAGCAGCAGCCGCCGAACCCGAGGGCTCGTGGACACCTGGCGGGCCTCCATCACCTGTGGAGAACCAGAAAGGGGCTCAGTGGGGCGGCATCCCGGCCCAGAACCCCGGACCCCACCATGCACCCACCCTCAGCTTCCCGCACGGCCCCCTACCGCTCAGTGGGCTCGGGCAGCGGCGCTGGCAGCCCCCTTATATCGCCTCCGCAACCCCCGCGCCGAGCAGTGACGCAGGCCGAGGGGCCGGGGGCGCGGGGTCACCCCTCCCCAGGCTCATTAGGAGCCGCCAGCAGTAATGAGGAGCCGGGGGTGGGGGACCTGCCGCTGCCTTGGCCGCCACCAACTAATTGGGACCAGAAGCTGGACCTGAGACGAGGGAGGGGAAGAGACAGACAGACAGAGAGGTGGACACAGGGGGTGTGTCAGAGGGATAAAAATAGAGACTGGCGGAAGGACCGTCAGAGAAACAGACACAAAGAGAAGGACAAAGACACAGTGGCCAAGGAGGAAATAGAGAGTAAGAAAGGGAATGACACAAAAAGAAATAAAAAGGAAAAAAGCAAGAACAGAGAGGGAAAGAGACGGAGACGAACAGTCAGATGGAGATGGAGGAATGAAAGAAAAGGCTCTCAGAAAGACAGACGGTGTAATCCCAGCACTTTGGGAGGCTGAGGCGGGCGGATCACGAGGTCAAGAGATCGAGACCATCCTGGTCAACACGGTGAAACCCCGTCTCTACTAAAAATACAAAAAATTAGCTGGGCATGGTGGTGCGTGCCTGTAATCCGAGCTACTCAGGAGGCTGAGGCAGGAGAACTGCCTGAACCCAGGAGGCGGAGGTGGCGGTGAGCCGAGATCGCGCCATTGCACTCCAGCCTGGGTAACAAGAGCGAAACTCCGTCTCAAAAGAAAAAAAAGAAAGAAAGACAGACGGAAACGGAAGGACATCCTAGGCTGGACAGAGCTGCCCAGAGATAAATACAGCAGGGAGAGAACCAGAAAGATTGAGGGCGAGACAGTGAGGAGGAAAAGGCAAGAGATGGCAAAGGGTATGTGTGGCAGGGGTGCAAGAACAGGAAAAGTGACAGGCAAACATCAGAAAAGGCCCAGACAGTGTGAAGAGGGGAAGAGACGGGGCTCCCAAGCTGCCCTAAGGATGCATCTAAGCCCTTATTTGGGAGGAGTTTGGGGTGCTGTAAATATTAAAGCCCAGTCCTCCTCACACTGACTCTTAAGAGGGGCCTCAGTCAGGCGCGGTGGCTCAAGCCTGTAATCCCAGCATTTTTGGAAGACCGAGGTGGGCAGATGACTTGAGATCAGGAGTTCGAGACCAGCCTGGCCAACATGGCGAAACCCCATCTCTACAAAAATACAAAAATTATGCTAGATGCAGTACTGGGCACCTGTAATTCCAGCTACTCGGGAGGTTGAGGCATTAGAATCCCTTGAACCCAGGAGGCAGAAGTTGCAGTGAGCTGAGGTGGCATCACTACATTCCAACCTGGGAGACAGAGCAAGATTCCATTACAAAAGAGAGAGAGAAAGAGAGAGAGAGAAGAGGGGCCTCTATACACAGTGAGGAGGAGATGGGCAAAACTTGGAAGTCCTGCAGAGCAACAGTTATTGGGGATGTGGGAAGTTGGGCTCTTAATTTTCTAGGAGGGTGGTGGCAGATGCTTGGACTCCTGAAACTAAGAGTGGATGGGACAGCGACCCAGAGTCCCAGGTTCTGGGGGAGAAGAAAGCTGGGGACTTGGATTCCTGGATCTGAGGAAGGAAGGAGCTAGAGGCCTGGGCTTCTGGGTCTGGGAGGAGGGAGCTGCGGGTCGAAACTTGGGGGGACTTGAAATAGGAGGGTACCAGGGAATGAGACCACTGGGTTTCCAGGTAGGAGAGGGCAGAGGGCCGGGACCGCATCTCCACGACAGCGTCGCAGTTGCTAACTCCCTTCCCCACCCCAGAGACAATGTCCTTCACTTCTGTCTCTTTAAGAGTCTAAGTCTGTTGCTAGGCTCCCAGGATCCCCTGGGAGGGGCTCCGGTGCATCACCTGTGTGCCCCTGAGACCCTGCCTCCCACCGCCCCACCCAGAGCCATTCTGCAACATTCACGGTTCTCTGCATCCAGCTCTGCTCATCTGCTGTGACTTGGGACACCAGAGCAGGTAAGAGACCCCAGGACCTCCAGTAAGCCTGTCCCATCGAGGTGTCTGCCGCCTCCACCTCCACGTGAACACAGACCTAGGCGTCTCTGCCCAGACTGGCCCCGGAGACGCTGAAATCCTAGCTCCATCCTCAACAACAGACTTGAGAGTCCTGCCCGTGGCTCTCTTCTTCAACTCTGCAGAGCCCAGACCCGCAGACCCTATTTCTAAAGGACTCAGAGCTCCCAATTTCTTTCTAACTCAGGAACCAAGAGTCCAAGGCCTGTTATCTCCTTTCACCCCTGTAATCCAGCCCCCAAACCTTGCTCCCTCAAAATTCTAGGCATCTGAACGTCCAGCCGGCTCCTCCCTAAAGAACCAGGAGCCAGGAACCTCAGCCCCCTCACCCTGCGAGACCCAGGAGTCTGAACCCCCAGCAACTTTCTTGCTGGGGGCCCAAACGTCTCCCTCCTCCCTCGAATCCATGAATCCAGCGCCCGGCCGTTAGGAGCCTCTGGTAGTGTAAACAACTGTTGAGTCAAGGTGTCCCGGGGGCCCTCAGGAAGATGATTCCATGTCCCCTCCAAGGCCTGTCACCCTCCAAAGTCGAAGTGGAGGAGACCTGGAGGCCTGGAGAGGTGTCGTTCTTTCCCAGTTTTTTCTAGGACCCCTCGGTGAAACAAATAAGGACATTAACTACGACCCAAGAAGCCCCAAGCCTCAGTCTCCCTTGGCCCCTGCGGCCACCGCCCCACTGCCTCCAGGGACTTGCCATTAGGTTCTTCTCACGTCCCTGGCGCCCAGCTGGGCCCCGGACCAACGCGGTGCACCTGGGGGGCTTTGGGCGTGGCCTCTGGGAGGGGGCGGGGCTCCGGGAGCCGGCGGCCTTAACCCCTTCCTTCCCGCTTCGCCTCCGCAGCTATAGGTATCTCCCAGAGCTATGGGATCATTCAGCCGGATCCTCTTCCTCATCTTCCTCCTCGCCAGGCTGAGGTGCAAGGCCGCTCCCTCAGCCCCTCCTTTGGGCTCTGGGTTTCCGGACGTGGCCCACCCCTCTGAGACCTTCCCTCGCGCTTCTGAAAATTCCGCCCGAGATCGCCTTCACCCAGAATTCCCTGGGACTGCTTACTCTGAGCCTTCCAAACCGCCTCCTATAGTTTCCCTTGAAACCTCCCCACTTGACTTCACCGACACCCCCAGCCCTGACCTCCAAGAAACCCCACACCCAGAGTCTCCTGAGACCCCCAAAGCTGACTCACTCGCAACCTCAATAACAGAATCTCTGGACATCCCAAAAACTAACCTCTCCAAAATGATACACCCAGAGTCTTCTGAGACCCCTACACCCGACCCAACTCAAATTCCACACCTAGAATCCCTTGAGACCCGGAAACCTACCTCCCCCAAAACTTCAGGCCCAGAATTTCCCGAGACCCCGAACACTGACATTATGCAAACTATACACCAAGAATCCCCAGGGAGTCCCCAACTTAATGCCACCGAAAGCTCATATGCAGAAATCCCTGAGACCCCAAACACCGACCCTACCAAGACCCCTGACCCCAAATCCCCAGGAAACCATGATCTCAACTCCACTGAGACCCCAAACTCTGAATTTCTCCAGGCCCTCCATCCTGACCCTTCTAAAACCCTCCCCCCAGAATCCCCTGTGACCCACAATCCCAGCCCCACTGAAATTTCCCAAAGAGAATTCCCCATAACCTACCATCAAAATGCAACAGATGTCCCCAGGACCTCCGACCCTCAAATCTCCACTAGTCTTTACCCAGAAACTCCTGCACCTTTCAAGGATGAAGCCACTGCCCTAAATGAGCTGTCCCTGAATCCCAAACCAGAAACCGCTGCAGCTATCCAGCCCGACCCCGGGAAACTGCCAACTTCAGATTCTCTAGGATCGGTTGAGCGGAAGGCTCCCCAGAACTCTGGCCCTAAGTGGTCCAGCGCCCCTCCTCCCTCAGCCCGGATTGCAGGTCCCCCTGCTCTTCCAGGGCCCCCAAATCAGTTGGCCCCTGCCACTCTGCGGGCACCCCAGAGGCACAGCCGAGGTGAGGGAGTCAACACGATCATCCTGGTGGAGCGAGTAAAGGAGACCGGTGAGGGGCGGGAGAACTCCTGAGTCTGAAGGAGGAGGGGCTGGGGGCCTAGACTTCTGGGTCCGAGGGAGGAGGGGCTGGGGGCCTGGACTCTGGGTCTGAGGGAGAAAGGTTTGGGAACAGGGATTCCTGGGTCTGAGGGAGGAGGTACTAGAAGCCTGGACCCCTAGGTCTAAAAGAGGAGGGGGCTAGGAGCTTAGATTGCTGGTTTCCCCCTTCAGGCGTGACTCTGGTGGGGCGACCACGTGGCGCAGCAGGCGGGGCCCTCTGCCTGTTCTTCGCGGGGACCGCGCTGCTGATCGGCATCTTTGTGCTGCTCTGGTGTCTCTACCGCCGGGCAGCTCGACACCGGCCCTTCGCACACCACCGGCTTCCGGACGACAGAGATGAACCGGGTGAGCGCCCTGTCCCTGGAATGCCTGCACTTTTCCAAAACGCGGTCTCTTCCGGCACTTTAGGGCGCCCAGCCAAAAAGCGCAGGTCCCCCACCCAAGGTCAGTGAAAACCCTGACTTCTCCATGGCCACGTCCAGCCCCGTCTGCAATTTCACACACATGTCCAGTGCCCCTCCCAATGCGGTTGGAGACGGCTTCAAGCCCACCGTCCCCGCAGGTGCGCGGCCCGGAGCCCTGCACTCCCCGCCTTCCACTGCAGGCCCCGCCCTACAGCTCGGACGCCACGCCGGTGGTTTCTGCAGCGACCCCGACCCTTTGGATTGAAAAACTCAGTTCAAATGCAGAATCGGAATCCTCTCTCCGGCTTCCCGATTGGTCAGCCGCACAAAAGGGGACAGGCCCCCTGGAGATGACCTGAAGGGGGCCTGGAGGGTCAGCCTGGAGATGACCTCGCCCCTTTTGCTCCCACAGTTCTGCATTTGGACGCCCCGAAAGACCCCTACGA